CTGTCCCTGTCCCTGTCCCCTCCCTGTCCCCTCCCTGTCCCTGTCCCTGTCCCCTCCCTGTCCCCTCCCTGCCCCTGTCCCTGTCCCCTCCCTGTGTCCCCCTGTCCCCTCGTGTCCCCTGACGTGTCCCATCCGCAGGAGTTCGACCCCGCGGGTCTGTCCCAGCTCCTGGGGGGCCCCGGGGGCCGGGCCGAGGGACCCCTGCGAGCCGACACCCCCCGGTACCTGCTGGGGCAGCTGGGGCGGCAGCGCGGGGCGCGCCCAGGTACGGGGACAGGGACAGGAGCCCCCCAAAGAAACACCAAAAAAAGCCCCCACCAGCCCACCAACCGAACCACAAGCCACAAGCCCCACGCCCACTCCCCCCCCAAGAAGCCCCGAGATCTAGCGTCAAACAAAAGCAAAGCAAAGCAAAGCAAAACAAGGCAAAGCAAATGAAAAAACAACAAGAACAATACCAACCAGAAACCCCCATGTCCCCATGTCCCCACTGTCCCCATGTCCCCATTGTCCCCGTGTCCCCCCATATCCCACTGTCTCCAATGTCCCCAATGTCCCCATTGTCCCCATGTCCCCGATGTCCCCGATGTCCCCCCGATGTCCCCTGTGCCAGGCGGGGACTGTGCCACGCTGCTCAAGCACATCGGGGCGCTGCCCCTGGAGCTGGCCCGGCTCTACTTTGCCGAGACGGTTCTGGCCCTGGAGTACCTGCACACCTACGGCATCGTGCACCGCGACCTCAAACCCGACAAGTGAGCGCGGGCGCCGGGCACCTGGGCACGCCTCTGGGCACCTGGGCACGGCACCGCCCTGCCCACCTGGGCCCCGCCCTGCCCACCTGGGCACCGCCCCCCCATCTGGGCCCCGCCCTGCTCACCTGGGCCCCGCCCTGCTCACCTGGGCGCCTGGGCACCACCCCACCCTGTGCACCTGAGCACCGACCACTCACCTGGGCACTGCCCTGCCCACCTCGGCCACGCCCTGCTCACCTGGGCACCGCCCAGCCCATCTGAACACTGCCCCGCTCACCTGGGCTCTGCTCTGCTCACCTGGGCACTGCCCACTTCACCTGGGCCACGCCCTGCTCACCTGGGCCCCACCCCACCCTGCCCACCTGGGTAATGCCCCACCCACCTGCGCTGTCCCACCCCACCCACCTGGGCCCCACCCATTCGGCTGGGCCCCGCCCTGTCCACCTTGGCCCCGCCCTCACCTGTGCCCCGCCCTCACCTGTGCCCCACCCTCACCTGTGCCCCGCCCTCACCTGCGCCCCGCCCTGCAGGTGAGCCCCCAGGACCCCCCTGAGCCCCCCGGGCCCCCTGAGCCCCCCGGGATCCCCCCGGGACCCCCCGGGACCCCCTGACCCCGCCGTGCCGCGCAGGGGGCGCGCAGGAGGTGAAGGCCCACGGCTTCTTCGCCGCGCTGGACTGGACGGGGCTGCTGCGGCAGAAAGCCGAGTTCGTGCCGCACCTGGAGTCCGAGGAGGACACGAGCTACTTCGACAGTGAGCGACCCCCCGGGACCCCCCGGGACCCCCCCCGGGGGGACATGCCCGGATTCCCCTGGATCAGCCCCGGGATTCCCCTGAAACATCCCTGGGACCCCCTGGGACCCCCCCGGAACATCCCAGACCCCTCTGGGACCCCCCAGAATCTCCTGGAATATCCCGGGACCCCCCTGAGACCCCCTCAGGACCCCCTGGAGCTTCCCAGACCCCCCTGAAACGTCCCAGGACCCCCCCCTGGGCCCCCCTAAAACATCCTGGAACATCCCAGACCCCCCTGGAATGTCACAGAACCCCCCTGGAACCCCCCAGAATCTCCTGGAACATCCTGGGACCCCTCTGGGAGCCCCAGACCCTCCCCGGAGCATCCCAGGACCCTCCTGGGACATCCCAGAACCTCCTGAAACATCCCAGGACCCCCCCGGGACAACCCCCCAGGACCCCCTGGAACATCCTATAACCCCCTGGGACCCCCCAGAACCTCCCTGGAACATCCCGGGACCCTCCTGGGACACCCCAGAACCTCCTGGAATATCCCGGGACCCCCCCCGGGACCCCTCTGGAACATCCTGAGACCCCCTGGAACGTCCCAGGACCCCCTGGAACATTGTGGGATGCCTGGGAACATCCCAGAACCCTCCCTGGTATCCTCCAGGACCCCCCTGGAACATCCTGAGACCCCTCCCTGGGACCCCCAGCCCCCCCTGGGACATCCCAGCCCCTCCTGGGGGTTCCTGCCCCCCCCGGGGGTCTCTCTGAAGCCCCCCGTGCCCCCAGCCCGCTCGGACCGCTACCCCCACGTGGCGTCCTACGAGGACGAGGACACGACGGAGGACGAGCCCGTGTGNCGGAGGGTTTGGGGGTGTCCCGGGGGTCTGGGGGTCCCGGGGGCTGTGGGGCCGCGGCCAGCCGGGTCTGGGGGCGCAGGGGAGGCGCCCGGCTCGTCCCCCCTGGGCAGCCCGATGTCGCCGCGCTCGCTGTCCTCGGACCCCTCGTCGCGGGACTCGTCGCCGGGCCGGGAGCTCGCCCCCGCCGTGGCGGCGCCGCCGCGCTCGCCCATCGCCATCCCCCGGCCCGGCAAGAAGTTCGGCTTCACCCTGCGCGCCATCCGCGTCTACCTGGGCGACAGCGACCTGTACAGCGTGCAGCACGTCGTCTGGGTGGGACAGGGGACAGGGGGACACGGGGGGGACATGGGGACACTGCAGGGACACCGGGACAGCGCGGGGACACGGGGGGACAGCGACCTGTACAGCGTGCAGCACGTCGTCTGGGTGGGACAGGGGACAGGGGGACAGGGGGACACTGCGGGGACAGGAGAGATACAGGGACACTGGGGACACACAGGGGGACATGGGGACACGGCGGGGACGGGACACCACAGGGACATGGGGACAGGGAGGGTGACACGGGGGGTGACATGAGGACAGGGGGATGGGGGACAGGAGAGGCACAGGGACACTGGGGACACGAGGAGACCGGGGGGTGTGGGGACAGGGAGGGTGACACGGGGACACGGGGACTCTGGGGACACGGACACACGGGGGACACACGGGTGAGACACGGGGACACGGGGACACGGGGGACAAAGGGACATGGAGGGCACGGGGGGGGTCCGGGGGTCCCTCGGGGGTGCCCCGAGCGTGACCCCGGTTTTTCGGGGGGCAGCACGTGGAGGAGGGCGGCCCCGCGCAGGAGGCCGGGCTGTGCGCCGGGGACCTGATCACGCACGTGAACGGCGAGCCGGTGCACGGGCTGGTGCACACCGAGGTGGTGGAGCTCATCCTCAAGGTGGGGACACCGGGGGGGCACCGGGGGGACACCGGGGGGTCACAGCTTTGGGGGGTCGCGGCTCACGGCAGCTCAGCCCCGAGCAGCGGGCGAGCCCCGGTGGGTGGGGGGGGGCCGGGG